CAAGGGGACTCTCAGGTTGACGATCTGGTCTGCCAGGGGGATAGCAACAATGTTCAGAGCCACTACCAGGATCTGTCACAAAGTGATGCAGTTTCTGGACAACAGTTGGCTGAGCTTGAAAGTAAACTTAAGACAGGAGCTTTCCTATACCTTGAGATGACAATTCCCCTGTGTATGATGATGAGGGAATCTCAAGAACTTTGCACACTAATTAAGTAGTATACATTACTACTTCTCTATTTTATCTTGATGATTCTTCCCTAGCCAACATATGTATAGAAATAAGGACGAAGGACATATATTTTATAGACCAGCTTTACAAAATGTAAACATGTCTTTTCCCCTTTCCATACCTATGTTTTAATCATAGGAATCGATAGCCTAAGGATGCAGAACTAAATTGGAATTCAAATAACCTTTATTGAAACATGTATAGACTAGTTTATTATGTGAAAGGATTTGTTTGACTGGATTGTGCAATGGTGATATGATAAGCCTATTTTAATATGATTCATTGATTATTAAAGCAAAGTTGAATGCCATATGTATCCAGATCATTCAAATTATCAGTAAGCCTTATGAGACTTTAAAAATACATTACAATTAGTTAAAATAATAAAATTATAAGACTTTTTTGCCCATTCAGTCATGTCCAATTCTTGGACATGTCCCTGCAGTTTTCTTGGCAAGATTTTTTTAGAAATAGTTTTCCATTGTCCCCTTCCTAGGGCTGAGAGAAAATGACTGGCCTGGGGTCACCCAGCTGGCTTTTTGTCTAAGGTAGGAGTAGAATTCAGTCTCTCGGTTTCTAGCCTGATGCCTTAACCACTAAACCAAACTGGCTCACTAACCTAACTTTTAAAACCATGTAATGAAGTAAAATAGTTTGTAAAGCCAAGACAAGGCTTTATTTGCCTTTTATATTTTTTTGTTTGGAGATCAAATTCTAACCAAGAAGTTTGTACCATGCATAACACAAAATATGCCAATTTGCTATCTCTAGTCTAATATATAATAGAACACTTTATAAACAGTGGTGGAAAACATTTTCAGTTCAGCTTGCTGTGAATATTTCTTACACTTTAAGCAGTTATACGTAGGGGGGAATCTCATAGGTTTGATAGTGAATGCAACTCACATTTTGCCTACAATCGCTCCTGGATCATAACTTCAATAGAATTTTGGATTCAATAGGATTTTCTCTCAGCCTTAGGAAGAAGGTAGGGGCAAAATCACTTGTTGCCAAACCTTATCAAGAAAACTGTAGGGACTTGTTCAGGCAGTCATTGACTCCAAGTCTCATAAGAGCTATACATAAGGCACGTATATGATCTTATGTTGTACAACGGTTCTCAAGTGGTTAGAGAAAAGCAATCTGATGTCAAATCTAGCTGTTTTCAAAATAGATTAGGCCTCCCACCCATAGAGGGTTCTGTAACCCAGGCCCCCAGCCCCCTGGCGACAGCCCACAACTGGGCCATGGCCTATTCAAAACCGGGCTGCACAAGAGATGGGTAAGTGCACGCGCGTGAAGCTTTGCTCACGCAAGTGGAGGGCACTTTTGGAACTTCACGCATGAGTGCAAAAGCGACAGCCGCTCACGTGAATGGTACTTCACAAGTGAGAACAAGCACCCTCTATTGCAGTGGTCGCCAACTGGTGGGCCGTGGCCAAATTTTGGTGGGCTGCAGAGAAATCTCACCCCCAGACCCCCCCCCCCAAAGCAATTAATCCAGGCTGCACAGAAACACAAGGCTGCACCGCCCACATGGCCCGTGGGAACCCTCCCTGCCCACTCACTCCTTACCGGGTAAACTTGCCTGCTAAATTTCTATTTTTCCTTTTTCTGACCATTATCTGTTCTGCTGTGCCGGGAGATTTAGATTTGGATTTCTTGCTTTCTAGCTAGTCTTTAGATCTTCGGCTCTGCTTTTAAGTACAGCCGAACCTCCCTTCGGACTGAAGGTTTGCTTGCAAGCAAATTCAGTGCAGACTCACAGCAAGCAAATTTGAGAGACTGAGCTCGCCGATGGCAGATAGATAGATCACTGAATGATTCTGTGATTCTGTGAGCAACTCAATCTGCCTGCCTGCTTTGCCTGATTTTGGATAAAAGTTGCTCTTTTTTGATAAAAAATCCAATATTTATATAAATATTTATAATATTTACATACAAGCCATGCCCAGCCAGTCACATGACCACCAAGCCACACCCACAAATTAGGCCACACCCACAAAACCAGTTAGTGGTCCCTGGGATCTAAAATTATGAGTTTGGTGGTCCCTGAGGTCCAAAAGGTTGGCGACCCCTGTTCTATTGAGTGGAGGACATACGTACCCACTGCTTGCACACATGGAGCTGTGTGCCTGCCACTCACATCACATATACATTGGTGCCAGGCCGAGTTACCAAACTGGAAAGGTTGGGGATTGCTGCTCAAAACAATTTATATAGCCCAGGCAGGCAGAGTTTGATTTTATTGTAAATGCTTCCTGGTCTGAGGGATAGTGCCTATAGAGGAGGATGTGGTGTGATAGATCTCAGCAAAGTAGCGGTTTTCCAGAAAGAAGGGAATACATTCTTTGGAGAAGGACGTGACAAGACGCAACACAGTTTGGAGTTGGATATGAGACAGAAGAAGAAAGGATAGCCACTTCCTAGAATACCTCAGGGTATATCCATCAGGGTGAGAATAGTAAAGATTTAGTCTGGCAAGATTCTATATATTTCGTATCAACAAATAAAAAACTGAACTTTGGCTGAATTTTTGTATGCCATTCTTGGGTTAGGCCTGAATCTTGCTCTTGATGTACAATGTCTGGAATTTAAGTGCTGTAGAAAATAAATACATGAATAAATTAGATAAATTACTTACCAGACGTTCCTGAATTATTTTGTGCCTATTTTATTTGTTTTAGCCCAGCCTGAACAGGGGATGTCAAACTTGTTGGAATATCCATAGTAGAAAAAGTTATATGAAAGAATGCTTCAAAAAATCTATTACATTGTACAAACATTTGGACAAATCTTCACGTGAATTTAGGAAGATAATCTTATAATTCTTCTTCTTTTGCATATCTCCATTTTGCAGCATTCAAGTTTTTCCTATTATTTTCTGTTTATCTTACCTTCTGTTGCAAAGTTTCTTGTTCTGGCCACTTTTATTCCTTTTCTAAGGCAGAGTCAAAAGTTACTAAAAGCTGGAAACTTTTCCAGATTTCCAGATCTCATGAAAACTGATGGTAAATTAAATGTTAGGAGGGAAAGTAGAGTGGACATACTGATGCCTGTATATTTAAAGCAAAATGTAAGAGCAGGTTGTAGACATTTTGCAGACATTTATATTAGGTTCTGCTATAATACTTTCAGCTTGCTTTTAGGAGCCTCCCAAGAAATGCTAGGAGGAAGAGAAAAATCTAGAATGGCTGATTTCCTATTTTTTAAAATATGAAATGGAAATCTATGGATAATGCATGGATACCTGCATTGGCCTCAGGCTAAAAGTTTGTGCCTTTTTTTAACTGTTTCCTATCCAAATGGAACACTGAAAATAAATTATGCCAAGAGCGTCAAGCCGCTGCCCATCTGGTTGCTCATCAGCAGGAAACTGTCAAACCTGGATAGAATGGGACCAAATCTAGTATGGCAGAAGAAACCAGCAAAAGAAAGTTTGAATTTGAAATTGAACTGGATCCAATCAGGGTCTGAGGAGGAAAAAAAAATCAGAAAAAAATTCCAATGTGTCCCTATGGGAGGCGCATTTCTGCAGTAACTTTCAAAGCTTCTGATTGCTTCATTCTTAAACACTGTTTTCTTCTTGTAATGTGACCCAGAATAGATAGAGCTTGTCTTAAGGGGTCGGGGAAGTTTCCAGAAGCCGTGCTCTGCATGTTTTTCCTAAGTTGTTTAGACTTTCTAATTTATTTTAAAGGCAGTCAGCTTCTAAAGGTCGTCACAAAACAACACCCAGCATAATCTTCATTCCAAGAATAGGCTGCCTATAGGGTCCCTTAAGTATTCTTGGAAAATAAACGCAGTGGGTGAACTAACACCACGTGCTGTGTTTGATTCTGAAAGAAATATATAAAGTAAGCTGGAGTGTTTGAAAGCATTTTGCAGGAAGAGCAGCCAGATGGGATATTGAGAAATAAAACCTCAGCACTTTGCCTTCTGGCAGATGTCTGTTTTGTGATTACCCATGGACATTGTGGCATGCACTTTTGGAATGCACAAATCCCTCCCCCATCAGTCCAATGACAGCTAATTTAGGAAAGTGCCATACCCTCAAAATGCAAATGTATCCACAGTAGCCCAATTAAGATTGGATGTCATTGTTCTAAAATAACAAATTCAGCTGTTAATTTGAATGTCGTTCTGTGTTGTACATGGAAGATTCCCAGGGAACTTACAGTAACATCTATTGGCTGTATAATACAGCACTCGGAACCACCAGGCTAACAACCTATGCTTACTGTGTTCCTATAACAAGCTTTTTCTAAACAAATCAATCATATGAAGGCTTAATATGATTGCTTAGTTTTTAATTACATTTTTAAGGTACTTTGGTTGGTTGTATGAATCCAATCATTCTTCTTTCATCAAAGAAAAGGAGTTTTTTTTTTTCCTTTCCTCAAAATGTCATGCAGGTTCATTTTTATGAACACACACACAGAGAAATACACATGCATCTTTTTTCTTCCTGGGGGAAAAAAAAATACCCAGAGCATCTCCATCCCTTTCCTTATAGAAAAAAAGCTCTGGCTTTCTTCTGAGCAGCAGGCAACTGTGCTAAGGGGTTTCCAATTATCCTTATGTGGTTTGGGTTTGTTGTTATTGAGGGAGATTTTCTGTTGGTCCCACCCATGAGGGGGCGGTGGCTGTTGCCTGGCAAAGAATCCTGAACACACAGAGGTGGGACTACTGGAGAACAAAGGCAGATCTGCTGATATCTTCCTCTTTCTTCTCCTTTTCTCCTCCTTACTGGTCTGGCTGCCTTCAGTAATAGCTTGGCCTGCTGCCAACAGATCACGTGGCCCAAGTTGTCCCCTTTGTATGTGCAGCAACTGGAGCAGGTTGCTCCAACCACTGTTATGAGGTAAGTTCCTTGCTAAAACATGCAGCTAGGTGCTTTGTATGTTGGGAATGTCTTGTCTTTAGGGTGTGGATGAATCGGTCAGCCTGGGGCATGAGCTGGATAATTTCTATGTGTTTTTCACTGAACCGGGCAATGGCTTGGCAGAAGAAAAGAAATCTAATTTGTTTGGGATTTTAATAACAAAGAATAGAAGTCTTGGTGAGACTGAGCAACACTTTCCCCTGCAGTGCGTGTAATCCTCTCCTCTGAATCTTCATTTGCAAACTTTATTTGCACAGCTAGATAAAATTAATATGTTCCATTGTGTGTGTTTATGAAAGTTTACCAGCTTTTATTTGTTGAATGGTATGTTTCCGGCTTGTTTTCTTTGCGTCACTCTCCTACCAGCTTGCTTTAAATTTCAGGTATGTATAAATAGAGTTAAATATGCTCTCACGTGGATAATAATTTTGAAAACCCTGTTATAGTAAGACGTAGCAATTATGTTTTTCAAAGATGTTCATAAAGATGCATGTTAATGACAGAGTCTAGATTGGAAACTGGATCATTTTATTCTGAAGCACTTTGAACAATTAACTATCACAAATCCTAATGCTAAGCATTTGCCTCCAAACCTTTTGCTCTTCAGTAATATTCTTGCTTGTTTTGGGCTGTGGTATAAGGATCAGGACCACCACCACTGCTATTTCTCCTCTTCTTCCCTTTTCTTTCCTAAATTGTACTTCTATTTCCTTAACCTCAGAAAAGTTCTCTAATGTGGAGATTGCAAACAAAAAGAAAAAAAAACCTGAACTGTACGTTCTGTTACTTTACTGGAAATATTCATTCCTATTCCTGTTTGTTTATTCTGGATCTCTAATCACTGGAAAGGAAGTCTTAATTCCTTATAGTTTTTCCTATGTTTTTAAATGACAGTTAAATCAGCCTTCTAGATTCCTAGGGTTACGGGGGCGGTAAGAGAATGTCAATTTTGACGTAACTGCCATCTTTACCTCCATCTGCTCTTCTCAGTAACATACTGTTCACCATATTCCCATTTTTACAAGGATGTGCAGTCTTCAAGTATGGTGGGAATTTCCTTCGTTTCTACTTTTCTGATGAAAATGGGAGTAAGATCTTTATTCATAATATCATTTTGTTGGTTTAATGTTTCAGAATCTATTGTGCAAGTAACCTGTGGTCTGTACTAACCCCTTTGTTTTTTCTTCCTTAAATGGAGGTAATACTGAAAGATTATGTCCACTATGGTGTACCCCAGGGAGGAGAAAATGGACAAGCTAAGCCAAGAAGAGATTATCTCCAACACTAAGCTGGTGATGCAAGGGCTGGAGGCCCTTAAAAATGAGCATAACTCGATCTTGCACAGCCTACTGGAGACTATCAAGTGTCTGAAGAAGGATGAAGAAGCCAATCTAGTACATGAGAAAGCCAACCTGCTGCGCAAGTCAGTGGAGATGATTGAGCTGGGACTTGGAGAAGCTCAGGTGAGCTACAGTTTGTACATGAATTTTAAAAAAAGCAACCAAACAGAGGCAATCAAACATAAGGATTCAAATACACTGATTAGAACAGGCATGCATAGTAAGTAAAAACATAGACAAAAGCATACCATTTGTCTATAAAGTTCAGAACAGTCAAACTAGCAGGCACAGAACACATTGGTAAATACTGTATTTTCCGAGTGCTGGTTTTTAGTTTTATGATTGTATGTATAGAATTGAAATTGAATAGAGAATTGAAACCTGTATATATAGTAATTGATACTTGATTATGAGTGGAGAGGACTTCTTTGAGTTTTCACTTTTTGCCCACTTGCCCAAGCATTGGCTTCTTTTCTCTTTTGATTTAGGAGAAATGGGATTAATTGTTCAGAATAGCAAATATATGTATCTATCCAAATTAAGGACATCAGTATATTAGGGGTTTAGCCTTTGCAAATGTAGACTACGCCCCTTTAGCCACCTATGTACAATGCAGGGTTTTCAAAGTTGATGTGAATGAGATGAAATATCCAATTATATTTGTTGTTCCTTTTCCTCCTTTCTGGCAACATTGTTCTTCTCTTTTTCCAAACAAACAAACAAAAAAGGAACAGGCATCTAAGATACTTTATGTTATACAGCACTGGTTTATGATTCAAAATTTCATTATTTTGTAGTGCTTAAAAACCAGTTCTTTGTTCAGTTCTACCCTTGGCTTATTTTAAGACCATTAAAAATATGCTCACTAATTTTCCTACAAGATTTGGAATTCTGTTTTGTGGGTGTGTATGTTTTCTTTTTTGCTAAGATTGAGAAGTTTGATTAAAAAAAAAAACTATTTCTCAAGACAGACATTTCTCCTTTTTTCTCTCGGACCAGGTCATGATGGCTTTGTCAAACCATCTGAATGCTGTGGAGTCCGAAAAGCAGAAATTACGGGCCCAGGTGCGCAGGCTATGCCAGGAGAACCAGTGGCTACGAGATGAACTAGCAAACACTCAGCAGAAGTTGCAGCGCAGTGAACAAACTGTGGCACAGCTTGAAGAAGAAAAAAAGCATTTGGAATTCATGAACCAGCTGAAGAAATACGATGAAGATGTATCCCCATCGGTGAGAATCTATAGGGTAGAGCATCTGTGCTTACTGGAAGTTACTACATAAAAATAAGCTAGTAATAGCTTTCTCAGAGTTCCTATCTACTACGTTAAGTTTGTCTCTACTGGCTATGACAGGCACAGGTCACCTACTCTTGTAATTATTATCTTGAATTATCTACCTGAGAAAAAGAACAGTTTATCGTTTTCATCAGTGTCGGGCATAAAAACCTTGCATTACTAATGTATAATGATCTCTCTTTACCCCTTTCTGTTGGTGCTTTTCTGTATTAACATTTCAGGAGGAGAAGGAAGGTGATTCCACAAAGGATTCTTTGGATGACTTGTTTCCAAATGAGGAAGAAGATCAGGGACAAGGATGTACGTTTCATTCTTTCATTCTTCTTATGCGGACAGCAGACACAAATATTGTATGCTACTGAACTTGACTTCTTCCAAATATTCCATCTGATTGAAAAATTAAGGGTGTGCAAAGGAGTGACAATTCTTACTTGTATGAATAAACCATAATATAGCATTGCATGCTGTGCTTCTTTATTTATTGATGTGATATATATTTGCAGTGCCTCATCAACACAGCAGTGCTGTAGCAGCTGCTCAGCAAGGTGGTTATGAGATCCCGGCACGCTTGCGTACACTACACAATCTGGTGATCCAGTATGCATCACAGGGACGCTACGAAGTGGCTGTGCCTCTTTGCAAGCAGGCCCTGGAGGACTTGGAGAAGACTTCAGGACACGATCACCCTGATGTGGCCACCATGCTCAACATCTTGGCCTTAGTATATAGGTGAGGAATAGAGAGGTAGAAGGTACCTGCTTCTTGCGGAGGTGGAACAGCATTTCAGGAACAGAAATGAAAGAGAGAGTACAAGGAGGTCGGTGTTGTCAACCTCCTATTGTGGCAACCTCTATTAAGACGGGATATTATGTCTGTGCAATGTAATTTCCCTATGTTTGTGACATGTTTATATACATTATTGTCCCTCTACTTTTAAATAGTATCTGCATATTTTGTTGCAGGGATCAAAATAAATATAAAGAAGCAGCTCACCTGTTAAATGACGCATTGTCTATTAGAGAGAAAACTCTTGGCAAAGATCACCCCGCGGTAAGTGGCTATTATTTCTTTCACTTCAGGAAGGAGGATCCAAATATATACAAACTGAAAAGTAATTGTTTCATTGCCTGATCAATTCTTCTGATTCCCAGGCTAATCCACATTTTAATCATAGTAATTGAGGATGATGGAAACATTGTATCTAGAGGGCACCAGATTGAAGAAAGCTGCTTCCACACACACACACACACACACACAGAGAGAGAGAGAGAGAGAGAGAGAGAGAGAGAGAACACACAAATCCTAATAAATAAATCACAAGGAAGGGAATCTTACTAACCTTATAGCCTTATAAGGAAATCCAAGCATGTGATTATGGTAGTGACATTTCGGCCCAAATGTATATATACAGTAATTGTTTTATTTTATATTTAAAATATCAGTACATATGTTGCTGTACATATTGTTGGCAAAAGAAATATGTGACTAAATAGAACAATGTGATTTCTTGAAATAGTATCCTGCTGAGAAATGGTAACACAATTAGGGCTCTGTTTCAGATATCCAGTTACTGTTGCTGTTAATGCTGCCAGTTATAACGAATTGGCTCTGTAAGGAGTATCACTTTTTATGCCCTATATTAGAGTGAGTGTAGGTTTTGATTCTTCCTTAGTTCTCATGTGATTGCTTCCACCTCTCTTTGCAGGTTGCTGCAACCCTAAATAATCTAGCTGTTCTGTATGGCAAAAGAGGGAAATATAAAGAGGCAGAACCATTATGCAAGCGGGCCCTGGAAATCCGGGAAAAGGTATCTTTCTTTCAGAAGCTTTGAAGGAGGAAGCCTCAGGCTATGGGGCCTCTCATCACTGAGGCTATACAAAAACTTTCACTGCTGGCGATTCCTACAATAGAAGCCTGTTTCAGAAAAGAAACCTATTTTGGATGAACTGTATCCACAATGAGGCTAATATGCATATAATGTGAAGCCATGTGTACAAAATTCAAGTTTCTAATGGTATTTATGAGACAGTTTTCTCAGGGAAAGAAAGGTTTTGCAGAATTCCAAAAAATTTATAAATTATTCTTTTTTTAAAAAAAACAATGTTATTGTTTTTTTAACAAACAAACAAGTAGACAAAACATAAAAACATCAGCTCTCATCCATACTTATGTACAAACAGTGTGTCGGTTGGTTCATCAGTTTTGTGCATACGTTTCGTAGTCATAATTTACAATTACCTTACATAATAACTCTTATTATCAATCCAAACTTATCTAATATCATTATATAAAAAAAGATTTGACTATACTTTTATTCGATCATGCCTTATGAGATAACTATGATTAAAATAATTTATTCTGTAACAAATCATATAATCATACCAATTCTATCCTAAAAAAAGAAAAAACATTTTATAAATATAATATCAGATATCAGAAAAAAAAAAGGTAAAATCAATAATATTCCTCATTGTCTAACATTCCAAATATTCTATTTTTGTATTTCATCATCCAACCATTGATAGAAAAGGTCCCAAATTATATAAAATTGTTTCTCTTCTTGCTCTCTAATTTCAAATGTCAATCTACTCATCTCAGCACATTGCAATATTTTCTTGATAACTTCCTCCTGCAATGGAATTTTGTCATTTTTCCAATTTTTTGCAAATACAATCCTAGCCGCAGTTAATACATTCACAATCAAATATTTCAAATCTTTACTATAAACATCTGGTAGGATTCCCAATAAGGAGAGTTCCGGTTTCAAGTCTATATGCTTCTTTATCATTTTTTCCAACCACATGCGAATTTTGGTCCAATATTTTCTAGCAAGTCCACCACATATGGTAGTATGAACCAGGTTTCTGATGACATTTCCAACATTTTTCCGATTTGTTCTTGAACATTCTTGCTATCCTTGTCGGGGGGAAGTGCCACCTGTAAAACATCTTATACAAGTTTTCTTTATAAGCTGTAGACATTGTCATTTTAAATTAAATAAATAAATAAATTTTAAATAAATTATTCTTACCTGCTTCATTTTCAGGTTCTAGGCAAAGATCACCCAGATGTGGCCAAACAGTTAAATAACTTGGCTTTACTATGCCAGAATCAGGGCAAGTATGAAGAAGTAGAATATTACTATCGTCGAGCGCTGGAGATCTACGAATCCCGCCTAGGGCCTGATGATCCAAATGTTGCTAAAACAAAGAACAATCTGGTGGGTCTGTTTGTTGATGTGAAGAATTATGGAGGCAAATAGTTATCTAAGATGAGGGGTGACTGGCTATGGAATGGTTCTTTTGATACTTTTATAACAATATCCCTTATATTCTGCCAGGCCTCCTGCTACCTGAAACAAGCCAAATACAAGGATGCCGAGACCCTGTACAAGGAAATTCTCACCCGTGCCCATGTGAAGGAATTTGGCACTGTTGATGGTATGTACGTCAAAGAAGGAGGAAGCAACATATGCAAAGAGGCCAGGTCTTAGGAGGAGATTGAAACTCTTGAATGTTAATTGTGAAGGTTTCTTGAACATTTCATAATTGTTGGGACAGATGTGTGTGGAAAAGAGAATTTCTTGAGAGACATAAATAAATGAACTATGATCAAGAGCCTATTTTTTCTTTGGACACATTTTGATAAGTAAATGATATACAATCTGTAAGGACTTTTCATTAGCGGTGAAGTTTACATTGTCTAATCTCTCGTAGCTTGCTTATTAAGTCTTTGCTTATTTATTTATAAACAAGGGGAAAGGGACCTGAAAACCAATATATCAGAGGTTCTTCTGAAAATACCATTAGAATGCATACAGAGACCTTTTCTCCTCTTATCTTTTCTCTACAGATGAACACAAGCCTATATGGATGCATGCAGAAGAAAGGGAGAAAATGAGCAAGGTGAGGACGAGAGCAGTGCTCTCATAGGCATTGCAGTGCCCTCCTAAACCATCAAGTATCTGAAGGAATTCCTGAATAATAATTGGGAATAATTTTAGATTAGAAAAAAAAAACTTACTGAAAAGAGAGACACAATCTTATAGTAAAATGATGCATAGTTTAGAGAGAGATAGAAACCTTCTCTCAAAACACATAAGAGCCCAGGGTTATCCAGGTAAGCTGAATAGGTACAAGATAGATAAAAAATAATCACTTGCCTTTCTATTGTGCTTAGGTATACCTTGCTGTTAAGAGTTCCAATTCTAGTGGGACTGTAGAACTTCTAAACTGGGTCACATGTATGCCTTTTGCCAGCTTTAATTGATATGCCAACTGTAGCCTTTCCTGTGGGAAAAAACTAGCTCAGCAGTCAAATTGATCTGTGAAAGACCTCTCCAAGATTCCATATTACCCTTGTGTCTGAAGCATTGCATGCTTCAGACTTGTCAGTTTATTTATTTCCAAGTGAAACATGAAATGCCAGATGTTTCTAGACCTTTATTGCTTGGGCCTAGGTTAGTGGGAAGAATGCTTCTTTTCTATAGGATTCCCCATCCTTCAGGAAATCATCAATTGTTGAACTGTGTGTTTGATGGCTAAATCTTTTTAGTACCTATTCCAGGTCTTTGAAATGTACTGCCTGATGAATAGAAGGACCTATTATTTTTGTTTTTCTTCAAAAAAAGATCTCAAAGCTATATTTTTTCAAACATGCAAAATGTATGTTTAATAATTAAATATAAGTGTGTTATAAAAAGAGTACAGATAGAGTACAAATAGAAGTTTTTGAGAAGGTTGTACAAATTCATAGAGAATGTAACCATTAATAATAATAGATATAAGTTAACTTCAGGATCAGGGCCAATAGGCCTCAGAAACAGTTCTTGTCCTGTTCTTCCCATGCCTTGCATATTTTTTCTTTGTTATAGTGGATTCCTTAGGACGTACTGGAAAATGGACGATGAAGGGATATCAGCAGGTTCTGGGCCACAGACATTTCAAAAGCAGAATGCTAAAGTTTGCTGTTTTGAAGGGCCATCTTTAAACTTCTCAGATTTAGAAAAGTTAATTATTAATGTTTCCCTAGATTGGGAGGAGAGCTAAGTTGAAAAGCCTCTGCATACTAGAGCGACAACAAATCCAAAGTCCTTGGCTTTGAACTTCTACACCTCACTCTGTACAATCATTGATACAGTACTAAGAATAGAATAGAAATTTGGTAAACTTCTGGGACATTTTGGGCTAAAGTACTGAATACATTATAGCAGTTCTCAAGCAGGATGACTTCATTCTCTGTTTTTGTCTTGTGAAAGCTATTGGATTTTTTGTTGTTGTTCATCTAATCTAGTGACTGATAACTGCTTCCAGTAGTAGATAAAAATAGAGATCTATTTCCTGGATTTTAGTACTTTACAGTACTTAGTTTCCCAAATCATTGCTATCACTGCTAAAAAGAATTAGCACTGTTTATCTTATTGCTTTCCATATGTCTTTCTGCACATTGCTTTTCTGTCAAATAGGTGGTTTAAAAGAGGTGAAAAGGACTACATGTGAATGTTCATACACGTGTACTAAGTGGTACTAGTTAAAACGTGTCAGCTGTTCTTAATTTTTGCCTAGCAGTGCCTTGTTACTACTCATTGGTTACATTTGTTAACTTGGATATATCCTATCTGCTGACTTGGATACGAAAGCTGACTGTACCCATGCTGAGAAGTCTCTGAAATTAAGAACTCTTCATTGAAAGACTGTTAGTTTTGAATTGATTTTCCCTGAATTTTCAATGGAAAAAGATCTTTCTTCATTTCTGGCATGTGTGAGAATTTTCCTGATACGAAAAAAAATTACACCATTAAATCAGAAGCCTTCTGAGTTCAAGGGATTGGTTTGGACTCTTTTGTGTTGTGTGATTTTATGCATTTGTCATTTTATACTAGCAAGCATCAATTTATCTTCTGATCATTTTAAAGTACTCAGGTACTTTTGCTTCTACCAGCCTTTTATGTCATATTTTTCAAACTCATGGAAAAAGATGCCTACATGAAACATGATATTGACACCTTCTTCCTGAATACAACTAATGGGATTTGCAATCATATGCCATCCAGAAAGCAAACTGGATAATTTGATAAGGAGAGGAAAAACAAAGACAATTGTTATGAATGCAAAAGGTTTATAAACAGCAGATTCACCGATTGTCAAAAGTGAATTTAGGTTGTCATTTGTTGAAGCTTAATAAAATGCCATATAAATCAATCCTTTGGAAGAAGGTAACAGATGAACAGTATTTAGCAATTAGTGGAACAACTACAGTTAGATTTATTGTGAAGTATTTATCTTGCTAGAAAATATTTCTGAGAAATATTTAGGAAAACAAATGCAAAATATTCAGATATTAATATCCGTCCATTTGTCTATGTAGATAAGTACCCCTATGTGATGCAAACAATAAACTTTCCACCTAATAACTCTAACAGCTAAGTTATATCACTTTTTCTTAAACACAGAAATGAGATAGAGCACTTTAGCATGATAATCCAAAAGATATCTCCAAGCAGTAGAAAGAAATTAGATTGTATGTTGTTTTTGGAATAATAGAGCATTATTTTAGTAATGTATTTATTTAGTTTCCATTGTCTTGAATGTCTTCTCCCACTAGACTACCTGATTTTTGGGTTGTTTCATACTATTAAAGGGCATAAAAACCATTTTACTAGAGCATTGCCTTTGTCACATTTAATCTATATAGCCTGGTAATATCATAAATATGATGCAGTCCCAAACAGAACTAAATTCCATCAAACATATGGAATTTACTTCCACATAAATGTGAAAAGCTTGGATTTCTGTTCATTTCATTTCCTATAGGAAATTTGGGAATTGTAAAAATAAAATCAAAATAGTTAGCTACAATTCCTGTTGGAATGTTACATAAATAAATCTTGTGGGGTTTTCAAATTACATTTTATTAAGTTTTTTTAAAGAGGAGTAAATAAACATATAGTGAATAAACATTTAATTTTCAAGTATAGTAGAATAAGGTTATCTTTTTCAAAATGTCATTCACTGGTTTTAAATAACAGAATATGTAGTTTTATGGAAAATAATGAGTCATTTTATAATCCAACAATGTATAAATATTAACAGCAGTGGTCAGCACAGTATAAAATAAAAATAAAAAATTACAATAAACTTTAAGCAACTGAAGATCTGTTCTGGTTTAAGAACTTACACTTTGAATGCTCTGTTAAGAGAAACACTAATTTGAGATGTGGCACAGGCCCACATATAGAATTATACTTAGAGCAGTTTCCAATTTGAGTAAAATTCACAGATTTATTTTTGAGATTACAAAATTATTTTGGTCATTGAACCATATTCTCACAACTTAATTAGCCATTCTGCAATTATTTTTTTTTAGTTGGAAGTATAGAGTATTCTTGCAGCACTTACATGTATAATGCAACTTCTGAATATTTTGTGGAAATACAAAATTAATGATCATTTAAAAAAAATAGATTGAAAAGAAATTCAGCTTTTAGGATTTGTTTCATTCTGGCATAAATTATTCACCAAAATTGTTGCACTTTACAACACAGCCATCCAATATGAAAAAAACGATCTGACCTGACTGTTAAATTCCCAATAATTTTTAAAGAAGGAAAAATCCATTTTAGTTATTGAGATGAGAATTGTGTAGGAGAGGTAAAATGCCCTATACTAATTTCTCTATATTATTCAAGTAAATTTACTGTACTTTTTCCCCCATTGGAATTCCCCTTGTTACATATGAATTACTCTGTCTAGATTCTGCATTCATTTAATCATACAGTGTTTAATTTGGTTTGGTTCTGAGTCATACATAAAAAACGTTTTGAAGATAACTGTAATTATTACATTTATAATCTTGGAAGATTGTTGGTATTATGAAGCTACTAAGATGGAGAACAGAAATCAACTGAGGAGAAAAAATACATGTATTGCAAAAATATGTGGGTGTCAGCTCCTTGCCCTCTCTGCGCAATGTTCTGACTTTGTGTCCCAAATCAGCAATGAATAAGGCTGAGTATTGTTGATAGCCATAGTTCTTTTTCTTCAAATTCCTTTCCTTCCAATCTACCCTGGGATTTTTTTAATAGCACATATCTAGCTGCAAGTACGTTTTGGTGTCCTGTGCAGAAATATATAGGCTCTGATCTGCCTTTGCCACTATACTGCTTGGCCTACAGAGGAGTAGCTGAAAATCAAGTTATTTTATGAGGGAAAGATGTGAGAGCTTATTTAAATTGTGTGTACTTAAAAATGTTAATATATTATACATCATCAAAATAAAATATTTGATTCTGGATGAAAGATGTTGCCTGCACTGAAGACTCAGAAAGCAGCCAAGTGAAACATATATAGAATTAATTGCAGGTTTTAAATGAGCAAACATGACACAATAAAGGTAACATCCACTCTTATTATTTTTTTGTCCCAGCAAGTGGGAGGACATCTTATGAACTACCTGGGTCCTGGTCCTGTTGGGCTTGTAACAGGATTCAAAAATGGAATTTGACATCTAGGTTTCCTGACAAAACCTGATTTCATTTTCATAATATATGCATGTCAGAGTACATACATAACTTCCCAAATCCAGTCCTTAGCAACTCCATACAGGACGCCCTGAACAACTGCAGTCAATAACTGAGCTAGATAGAACTATATGGCAACTACCTGTGTTTCTAACTTATCTGCCCAATATATTTGACATTTCAGTGTTACACTTAACAGGCTTAGAAGCATCCAATTATTAGGGAATCACCTTGCCTGAGGGCATTCTGAAAATAAAAGTTGTAAGCTATGGAATTGATGTCTGAATTGGAGTCCTTTCAGAAAAAGCTAAGGGTACAAACAATTGTCAGTGATTCAGGTATAATTTCAGTGGAAAGTTGCATGACAGGATTCTTATGCCCCGAGTTCACGCTTAAAGGAAGCTGCGTGCTTAGCTAAAATCCCACAAGTTTCTCAACCAACTGGATATGCGTCTGAGCAGAAAATGTTCTCATCAAAACATTTTATATAACTTTAATGTTTTATGTGCAGAAGCTAAGAGAACCAGCTTTGTTTTAAGTATCAATTTATGCCACACAATCTACTAATTTTGGGGGGTGGGTTTGTTAGGCTGTATCTCTACTCTCAAATGCACTCCTATAATACATGAGCTTAATGATCAAATTCTTTGCCATACTTATTTTTATCTTTGTACGTCTGTTTTCATAATTGGAGTTTTGCTGCAAATCAGCATTTGTAGTATCTCATGGGAAATTTGGGGGGAAATTTTAATCCTGCCATACTGACCTCTGAAGAATGGAGAATGCTTTCATACCATTAACATGCCTAAGAGCTCTTGCTGTGGAGCACTAAGTATGTCAGGAAAATGTTCATTATCTACTTGGTCAAGACATACAACTCATCTCCAGATAACTTTTTTCTTCTGAGATCAAGATGGAGCCCATCCTCAGGGCATATTTATACTATCATGCTTGTATGAGTCTTATTAGTGTGATCCTCAGCCTGATTTCTTTCATATGTGTCATATCTCAGTTCCTATAATTGCCACCCATGCTGGCTTTGGATTCTGAAAGATGAAATCCAGCACAGCAGAGGGCTCTAGAAAAGGAAACTTCTTCTAGTTGGAAAGTTAGAGAAGCTTATTTCTCTGCCAAGGGTTAAGTGCATTATTGGTTTTTTTTATTTCTCCCATGCATGCAAACAGAAACAGAAACTCACTCTTGACTCTGATTGTTCTAATAAATCTTTCCCTCTTGCCAAATTCTCTTCCAGAGTAAACATGGAGAAAACATCCCCTATGCAGAATATGGTGGCTGGTACAAGGCCTGCAAGGTCAGCAGGTAAGGCGTGGAATTTGCTTATGTTTCTGAAGCTTTTTGTGTTAATTTAGGGTTCAGAATCCTTTGTGTTCCACATTTGTTCACCAAAGGAATGTGCAAAGGTGACAAGAAATGTGAAGGTGGGGGAAAATATGTATAGGTTCATGAGGACAGGAATGCTCTATTTCATTTGTCTGCAGATGACTGAAAGCAGAGGATGACAAGCTACTTTATAGAGCAGCTTTACTGGGCACCCTTTGTCCTCACCCCACTCCCTCCCCCTCCCCTTTCAGGAGCTGCCTGTCTGGTATATCCTCTCTGACATGCACAGGGTTTAAATCCTTCTGATTCAGAGCTTGGGGGGATGGGATGGGTGGACTGCTTTGTAAAGCCATTTGAATCAGAATCCTGAGTTCAAAAGGAGTGTAAAAAAAAAACCCTCTTAGAACAAGCTGCATGCATTCTTCTTTATTCTACTTCATATCATGCCTCCCCTATATTCTACTGACTAGCCATATTGGGAGGGGTGTTTTTTTAATATGGGACTGTTGCTCTCTTACGTATTAAAAAAATTAAAAAATCATTTGAGATAGGAGCTCCTTCCAACTTCTTCCCATGCACACCTTCTATGACCTGCCAACAGATTATATTGTTTGTGATTTTGTTAGATTTTCAGTCCTGTGACCGAAAAAATAAACTATGACACGTCTGCTCTATGAATGCCACGTGCTTAGTGTCTCTTGCAGCCCAAGCTGAAATGAATGTCCAGTACCTAAGCAATGGAGCTGGGTGATCACAGCAATCTAAAGTAGTCAGTGGGAATTCAGTAGATCCCCTCCTGACCATTTCATGAACCTTATCATCGGTGAACTCCCCACAGTAGGCTGGGGATGTGATGGAGTTGTATCATGTCCCTTAAATACAATTATCATGTTGATACTTAATTTTTGCAAACCTCCACCTCACATCTTGTTTCCACAGAACAAAAATGATTGCCTGGGCAGCTATTTGGGTGCAGGAAAAGATGCTACTGTTGTAGTATCCTCATTACATATAAGCTCACATGCATTCTGTATCAGGTTTTGTCTTCAATGAAAATACAGTAATATAACTGTAGGAGCTCTATAGACTGGCATATTCATTCATCAAAGATAACCTGGGCTTTAGTGATCAAGTTACTCCAAAGGTAAAGAAATATTTGTTAATTTCAGTTTTCTACTTTTTCTTGAATGCCCCTCAGCCCTACAGTGAACACCACTCTGCGGAACCTGGGTGCGTTATACAGGCGTCAAGGCAAACTGGAGGCTGCGGAAACTTTAGAAGAGTGTGCACTGCGTTCTAGGAGACAGGTGAGGCCGATAGTGACCCAGAAAAAAATGCTGGCATTGTACAAAGTGGAGAACAGGTAGTCTTCCATATAAAAGTTATTTTATCCTCAATTTAATAAATTCCAGAGGGGAAAAAAAAGTTGCGGTTATATATATAATCTGGAATCAAACATAGAAATTAGATTAGGCCTAATTGTACCCACCTTTCAGAGCAGTTGAAAACCATTTTTTCAAATAAGCGTTTGGGACTTGGTGCCTGCTTTTCTGGATTGATTTTTCCTATACTTCTTTTGTGAATTAAAAAAACAATCTTACTGAATATTGGATATGTTATGTTTTTATTGTATTCTTGTGAAACTACCAAGAGTCTTGTGGGAATCCAACAGGGAAGGAGGGAGGGGTAGAAGGGAGGGAAGGAGAAAGGGAAGGAAGGAAGGAAGGAAGGAAGGAAGGAAGGAAGGAAGGAAGGA